CAGAACACAAAATGACCATTAATGTCTCCTGTTTTAACCGGTTTGGCACAGATAACATTTGGTTACACTGACCCAGCGCTGGGTTGGTATGTGATGGTGTTCATCATTTGTATTGACAGTAAAAATGACCCAGCAGCTGAGTTACAGTTACCGGGGTTAATATGTATATATATATAAAAATAACCCAATAAAATGAACTAACAGGCTGAACCCAGCATTTGGGTTAAAAAAATAAAAATAAATAACCCTGCATAATAATTATTATATGGTGATAATTATTAATAAATATTTGCACAGTAAAATCGATTAATTGTGATTAATCACTTCCAATATAAAAGTTAGTGTTTACATAATATATGTGTGTGTGTGTGTGTGTGTGCTGGGCATTTTTTTTTTAATATATAATAATTGTGCAGTCCTACATCAAAATTTGTTACATTACGGCATTTAACATTTAGTTGATACCTAATGTTTTCATATTTATCACATTTGATAATATTGCTCTTTCATTCTGCTTTCTAAATACTGATTAGAAATCATTAGATTAATCACAATTATTTCATTCTGTTGAGGACCCGGGCTTTAGAAGCAATAATGTTTGAAAACCCCTGAAATAGTCAACCTCACCAACTGACTTGTGGACGACCAGTCGACCACTGTGACCTGTCCCTTATTTCAGTCATGGTAGTTGGCCTGCTGGTCAAAGGTGGCCTGTTAGCTCGAACTAGACTGAGCAACATGATCGATCAGGTCAAAACAAGATTCACAATCTGGTAGTCCATCTGATCCACCATGTAGACCAGCTTGGAGCAGCTAATGGCCATAAATGTCCAACTATAAACCATGTAAACCGGTTGGTTTACTGGGAGCTGGTTGTAGCTACTTTTTCCAGCATAAATGTACCACAAAACCAAAATGTTTTAGCAATTCCAATCTATGTCCTTTATGTAGCCTTTAGTCTTGTGTTTTGAAAGCAGACAAAATTTTAACCAAGGTAATGCTGAGTCACAAGAGAGTACTTACAGCTGAATTTGATCCTGGTACAGTATATGAAGGCACACTTAACAGATTATGGGCTGCACATGGGGCAGGGGAAGGTTTAGGGTGATGGAAAGTCAAATACGCAACTGTATTATGCAACACCATCAGCGGTGCACACACAGTGTATATAGGCAGTTACAACATAATAGTGACATAAAGCAGAGCGAGTCATTTCTGCACCAACAGAACTGCAAAAATAATGATGTAATGTTCCTAAGAAAACAAGACAGAAAAATAATAATGCATGGCCCTCGTGGGCTTGTTTGGATATGTTTGGAAACAGTCATTAGTGGTGCTTGCTGAGGACAGTATGTCTGCCAGTAGAGATTCCTCTAGACTGTTTGTTTATCTGTGCAAAATTACAATCAATAAATAGTCATTTCTAAATAGTTATATAGTATATAAAATATGTCTGTTGAATTACCTGCAAAAGTTGCTGTATTGTTATGTACCCCAGGGCTTGCAAAATTTCAAAATCCATGGTAGCCCTTTGGGAAGGTACTCTTCAGATTTTGGTAGCCCGAAAATGAATTTAACTAGCCCAAATAAAAAAAATACCTTTTTTTTTTTTAAATGTAGAAAATCAGATAGGAGTTTAAATGTCAATCAAAAATATTTTCAATACACAAATATCAACAAATATGAAGGAAGGAATTTTATTTAACTATTTACAGTATCTGCAGAATTTTAAAAAAATAAATTTAAGGCAATTTATGGCCCATTTTAAGAGCTGCACAAGTAAAATTAACAGTATGAGTGGGGTTGGACAATGTCTATGGTAACATACAGTATTGAGCCATAAAATTACAAATGAAATTAAAATGCCAACGACACGTTTCTGAGGACAGTCGGTTCCCTTCAGATACATTCAAATAAAGACATCCGTGCCGCATTTTGACTTGAAACATGCAGCGCTCATATTTATGACATCAATGGCAATGACATCATTGCCTTTTGAAGTTTAATCCAGCCGTCTCTTGTCTTTCCATCTCCAGCTGTAAGACCTCTTGAAATTATAATTAAGACATTTCTTATACCATTTAACGTATTTAAAGGGGTCATATGATGTTGCTAAAAAGAACATTATTTTGTGGGGTGTAATGAAATGTGTTTGTGGTTTAAAGTTAAAAAAACACATTATTTTCCACATACTGTACATTATTGTTTCTCCTCTATGCCCGGCCTTTTTGAAACGCGTCGATTTTTACAAAGCTCATCGGTCTGAAAAGCGAGGTGTGCTCTGATTGGCCAGCTATCCAGTGCGTTGTGATTGGCCGAATACCTCAAGCGTGTGACGGAAATGTTACGCCCCCTTACCATACTGTGATGCCGTGTCCCGGCCGGAGCGACGAGACAAACACATTAAAACCCATTATAAACATTATAAATTATTTGTTGCATCCAGTGGGGACATTTACGGATTATAATAATTTATACTGTCTTTGTATGCGTTGCGTTGCATTGCGCCGCGTAAGCATAAAACCATGTCTGAACGGCACTGCCGGCGGATTCGATGAAGGAGCGGCCGTTGGGCTTGCGGCAACCACATGTGACGACCCCGGGCTGGACTCTGCTTTGTCCACGGTGAAAGCAGATCTGGCGATACAACTCTGTGTTTGCTGCGTAAAAACATGAGTTGATATTTGCATTGATCTGACCGTAATCACAAAGAAAGGCTTATTGGAAATGCTAATTAATTCTCTGCCACGAGGTGGCGCTTTAGGAGTGCTGAAATATTGCGGTTTCCCCTGTAACGGCTGTATACAAAGCAGCTCCACGCTCATAAACGCTCCTTTATCAGGAATTATAGGTCAAATGAAATTAAAATGCCAACGACACGTTTCTGAGGACAGTCGGTTCCCTTCAGATACATTCAAATAAAGACATCCGTGCCGCATTTTGACTTGAAACATGCAGCGCTCATATTTATGACATCAATGGCAATGACATCATTGCCTTTTGAAGTTTAATCCAGCCGTCTCTTGTCTTTCCATCTCCAGCTGTAAGACCTCTTGAAATTATAATTAAGACATTTCTTATACCATTTAACGTATTTAAAGGGGTCATATGATGTTGCTAAAAAGAACATTATTTTATTATAAATTATTTGTTGCATCCAGTGGGGACATTTACGGATTATAATAATTTATACTGTCTTTGTATGCGTTGCGTTGCATTGCGCCGCGTAAGCATAAAACCATGTCTGAACGGCACTGCCGGCGGATTCGATGAAGGAGCGGCCGTTGGGCTTGCGGCAACCACATGTGACGACCCCGGGCTGGACTCTGCTTTGTCCATAAATTATTTGTTGGATCCAGTGGGGACATTTACGGATTATAATAACTTATACTGTCTTTGTATGCGTTGCGTTGCGTTGCATTGCGCCGCGTAAGCATAAAACCATGTCTGAACGGCACTGCCGGCGGATTCGATGAAGGAGCGGCCGTTGGGCTTGCGGCAACCACATGTGACGACCCCGGGCTGGACTCTGCTTTGTCCACGGTGAAAGCAGATCCGGCGATCCACAGCGCGAAGTTGTAGTATTTCCTCAGCGACCAGCACAGATCAGCTCGACACTAGGCATGACGAAGTGGATATCGTCCTCTTTTGGAAGGCCAAACAAAGTAGTTTCGCTTTCACAATGAACCACAGCGCCTTCACGACATGGCAGCAGCAACAATACTACAGCGAGAATAAAAGTTACGCCGCCTTTCTTTGCGTGAACATTTGGGCGGCATTATGCAAATCCCACATAGTGAGGTAGACATGTGGGGGTGTGTTAGAATGAGCTGTTTTAGGTAGGCGTGGTTAACTCTTAACTACATTTTGGTAGCCCGACTGGAAAACACAATAGCCCCGGGACGTCGGGCTAGCGATTTTGCGAGCCCTGTACCCTACCGTAATGTAAGATGATCTTTGATTTTTCTGCTCAACTTTTAATTTGTATTTTTTATGATCATTTATAAATATATAATTACTTACTATAATATAACTACTTCTAATTCATAATTTAAAAATAACTTTTATATTAATTTATGTATAAATATGAGAGATTTGGGTGGTGGGCTTTTTTGACATGGGCTAGTTGATAGTAGTAAGTAGTAATTTCATGTTTAATGTTATTTTAAAATAATGTTTATATCACACATGTACACTACCATTCAAAAGATTGGGGTCAATTATATTTTTTCTTTTATTGAGCAAAGATGCGTTCATTTGATCAAAACGTTTTTAAAATAAATGCTGTTCTTTTGAACTTTCTTTTGATCAAAGTATCTTAAAAGAAAATTTGGTAACACTTTACAATAAGGCTCATTAGTTAACATTAGTTAACTACTTTAGTTAACATGAACTAAGAATGAACAATACTTCTACATTATTTATTCATCTTAGTTAATGTTAAGTTAACTAACTTAGTTAATGTTAACAACATTTAGGCTACTAATGCATTATTAAAATCAAAAGTTGTGCTCGTTAACATTAGTTAATGCACTGTGAACTAACAATGAACGGCTGTATTTTCATTAACTAACATTGACAAAGATGAATAAATACTGTAACAAACGTATTGTTCATTATTTGTTCATGTTAGTTGATACATGAACTAACATGAACTAATAGAACCTTATTGTAAAGTGTTACCGAAATTTTCAACATAAGAAATGTTTCTTTAGCAGATTATCATGAATCATAAATTACATGTTAAAATATATTCACATAGAAAATCATAATTTTAAATAATATTTCCCAATATTACCGTTTTTACTGTATTTTTTATTAAATAAATGCAGACTTGGTGCTCTTTGAGACTTCTTTTTAAACCTTATCACTGTTAAAAAAAAATATCCTGTCGACCTTTTGAATGGTAGTGTGCTATGAAAATCAAATTACTATTGTTAGTCTTTATTAGCATATTTTTTCAAACATCTTTTCTAAAAAAAAAATCCTTTGTCTTTCAGGTTTCCCAAAAAAGCGAGCAGGTGAGTGCAGTGCCTTCCTGTTGCTCTTTCCTAGTGAAACGCCCTCATAGGCCCAGAGAGAAGCACGGCAGCCAGACAGGCAGCTAATGGCAGTTTCAGCAGACAGCGATATGAGCAGATTGAGCGTACACACTTAAAAATAAAGGTGCTTCAAAAGGTTCTTCAAGCGATGCCATAGAAGAACCATTTTTGGGTCCACAAATAACCATTCAGTCAAAGGTTCTTTAAAGAACCATCTCTTTCTTACCTTTTTGTAATCTGAAGAACCTTCTTTCACCACAAAGAACCTTTTGTGAAACAGAAAGGTTCTTCAGATGTTAAAGGTTCTTTATGGAACCATTTAGACAAAAAGGTTCTTCTATGGCATTGTGAAGCACCTTTATTTTTAAGAGTGTAGACAACACTGATGCTGCCACTTATATGAACATGTGATAATAAAACGCTCAGATCCACAACATTAACTCAAGTTTTACATACTTGTAAACAGTTATCTTCAGCATGCTAAAGTCTGGTCTGGGAAGTGTCATCTTTAAATTCATCCTCTTTTAAAGTACCATATTATAGCTAAATTTAAAATGTGGTTAATGGGTGACTAGTCGATCATCCTGACCCGTCATTAGTCATGATAGTTCTTTGTAACCATCAAATTCACAGTCAACAGTAGTTTGCATTGTGTTGGTCTGAAATGTTTTGTCTGCTCTCTCGGGGCCTGTTTTTGGACAGGGGGCACGAGTGTGACCTTTTGTAAGTGGATCCACATTTCCTGTCTAGTTTTTGTATGCTGCTGGATAAGAATAGCATGATGTGGCAGAGACTGTGACCATTTTTCCCATTTGTGTGTATTTGTGCACAGGACAGGAAGTATTCTCAGCAAGGACCATCCCCCAGACAAAAAGCCCAAAAGCGACAAGGCGTCAGTCCCCTCCTCGCATGAGTTTGACCCCACAGGTAAGAACCTCTTCTTGAAAGGCATCTAAATTATGCACAACTGTCTCTTTCCTCACTCCAATTTAAAATGTGGTTAATGGGTGACTAGTCGATCATCCTGACCCGTCATTAGTCATGATAGTTCTTTGTAACCATCAAATTCACAGTCAACAGTAGTTTGCATTGTGTTGGTCTGAAATGTTTTGTCTGCTCTCTCGGAGCCTGTTTTTGGACAGGGGGCACGAGTGTGACCTTTTGTAAGTGGATCCACATTTCCTGTCTAGTTTTTGTATGCTGCTGGATAAGAATAGCATGATGTGGCAGAGACTGTGACCATTTTTCCCATTTGTGTGTATTTGTGCACAGGACAGGAAGTATTCTCAGCAAGGACCATCCCCCAGACAAAAAGCCCAAAAGCGACAAGGCGTCAGTCCCCTCCTCGCATGAGTTTGACCCCACAGGTAAGAACCTCTTCTTGAAAGGCATCTAAATTATGCACAACTGTCTCTTTCCTCACTCCCAAGAATATTTTGTGGTGCAAAACGAGATGTTTCAGTGTTATATTGTTTGAAAACTAAGTAACTGACCAGTTTAATCAGGTTATTTATAGTCAGATGCATATATCTGGGTTGTGACAGCATGGATAGTGTGCAGATACAGTGCACATTGCTCTAAAGACCAGTGAATTGTATGTCTAGATTTATTGTGGTGGTGAGATTGAATGCAGAGCCAGTGTATGCTGCTGGACTGCTTCAGTTTGTATGAAGTTAATTACAGCAGGATCATGTCAGCTGTGACATCAGAGGGACTACAGGAGCCTCAATCATCATTTAAATGCTAGAGTAGCACCTTGTTTAAAAGCGTAATGCTGACTCTGACTGTTGGTCACTGCTGATCATGTATCAGACTCAGTGCAACTCTTAAAGGGATTGTTCACCCATAGAACCTGCCATTAAACATATCAGCAACATTTTTTTTATTATTATTTTTTTTATTGAAGAAATATTTTATTCAGAAAGGATGTATTAAATACGTGATAATAAAGACTTTTACATTGTTACAAGTAATAATAAGAAGAAATGTTTTTGAGCACCAAATTAGCATATTAGAATGATATCTGAAGTATCACGTGATACTGAAAATGACCATTTTTATATTTTTGATTTAATAAATACAGCCTTCAATGCAGATAAATCTTACTGACCCCAAACTTTTGAATTGTAGCATATGAAAATGAGAATAAGACAATGGGGAAAAAAAACACATAAAGCTTTAAAAAGTAAAAAAAAAAATTGCGTTAACATTAAATATTTTATTGCTTTAAATTGTAAATATATTAAAAAATGTGTCAGTTTGGCTCAACATGACATATTCAGTTCAAGTTTATTTGTATAGCGCTCGTCACAATACATGTTGTTTAAATGCAGCCTTACAGAAAATATTCTAAATCTATTCTATGCAGCAGAGAAAATACCTAAAAATATTTTTAACAAATACCTTTTCCATAAAATAAAAATTAATAAGACTAGACTGTCAAGCCTAAAAAAGAGAACCAAAATACCACTAAAAACTAGGGCTGCAACAAACGATTATTTGGATAATCGATTACTCTAACAATTATTACAACAATTAATAGACTTATCACAGATTAATCAGTAGGCTTTGTTCTATTATCCAGCTTTTACAATTAGTTAAAATATTGAGTTACATTCTAACTAATAAAAAAAAACAAGGTGATCACTTCAGCGTTTGAAAATGTCAAACAATTATATTACTACTGTAAAATTACAATTATTTTACAATTATTTTTTACAATACAAATAAATATATTTGGCACAAAAAATGCGATGACAGACAAAGAGACTTTCTCATTCACTATTTAATTAACTGTATGAAAAAGTAACTGACTGATGCATCATTCTGCCTAACATCTTTTGTAAGTCACATGGATAAGGAACAAAATAAAGGTAAGTGATGAGACATTTTATTTTTAGATAAATTATTTTATTCAAAACATTAGCTCTCTTAAAACACCTTATAGTGTATAGCTAGATTAGGCTTTAATATATTCAAACCAAACTATCACTTTAGTGTAATAATATGATTTTTTAAATGTATTTATTTCAATTATTTATTTCTGCATTCACTAATGAAAAGATTTTAGCATTATTTTATCATTATCATTTTATCACCGATCTAAGTGCTAAATAAATCAACGTGACGTGACTGGAGTGCCGATTGCAGAGCTGGTGCAAACTTATCCACATTGCTATGATCAGATACTTTCTTAACTGCTGTTTTCTCACCACTGTCATATTTGTTACGTGTTTATTTCATTATTGAGAGGAAAGCGTGCAGCACATATTTACGCATTCATATGCCACTGTCAGCAGCGTCTGGTTTGGCTGCGCTTACGCTCCTCTCATAAGCGCCGTGTGTCGTCTTCTCTTGAATTGCATCCGGGAGGGCTCAATTACCAGGGTTCCTACGGTAGCTAGATTAGGCTTTAATATATTCAAACCAAACTATCACTTTAGTGTAATAATATGATTTTTTAAATGTATTTATTTCAATTATTTATTTCTGCATTCACTAATAAAAAGATTTTAGCATTATTTTATCATTATCATTTTATCACCGATCTAAGTGCTAAATAAATCAACGTGACGTGACTGGAGTGCCGATTGCAGAGCTGGTGCAAACTTATCCACATTGCTATGATCAGATACTTTCTTAACTGCTGTTTTCTCACCACTGTCATATTTGTTACGTGTTTATTTCATTATTGAGAGGAAAGCGTGCAGCACATATTTACGCATTCATATGCCACTGTCAGCAGCGTCTGGTTTGGCTGCGCTTACGCTCCTCTCATAAGCGCCGTGTGTCGTCTTCTCTTGAATTGCATCCGGGAGGGCTCAATTACCAGGGTTCCTACGGTCATGAAAAACCTGGAAAAGTCATGGAATTTTAAAACAGCAATTTCCAGGCCTGGAAAAGTTTTGGAAAAATAAATAAACCCAGAATGTTTTGGAAAAGTCAGGGAAATCTGTTTCACAAAACTCTGTATAATAGAATTGTGTTTAATCAGTTCCTGAATTTCGATGCGGGATTGCGCATAGGCTAGGCCTATATCGCATAGTTTTACTCATTCCCGCAGCTTTTGACTTTAAAATGATGGATATTCACACGTTTATTCAATAGCCTATAGCATGTAGGTTTGATGAGTAAATAAATCCACACAGACTGATCAAATTAGTCATTTGAAAATAGCGTGAGTGATTCAGCTGTACCGCGTCTTTTCTCTTTGACTTTCTCTTCACATCGGGTCATCTTGTCTGCGCAACAAGAGCCGCTGCACGCTGCGATACAAGACTTTCGCTCTCGTTTCGGGACAGTTGACAGATTTGTCACTTGCCTAATCGGGTCATTGTTGCATCGTCACAAAAATGTATTATTTATTTGCACGTCTTTTTTAGCCATTCGGTACTCGCGCGCACTCCAGAGGTGGTGCGCAGTCACATCCAAAGCGTGCATGCATATATAAAGCCACCTTGCGAGTACCAAATTGAGTTCGCTACCAAACAAGCTCAGTAGAACCCTGCACAGGCCTCAAACATATGCCCTAGTCCGGCCCTTGTCCGACAGATTATCAGAATTACCGGCCGAGTCCGACTGCTCCAGTCTGTCACGGGCTCCCCGTGTCTTTTTTCTCTTTCTCCCTTCACCATTACACAGTTGCTGTTGTAGCCGTTAAAATAGTTTTGTTTTAATGGCAAAATGGTTATATTTATTTTCCTTTATTACGTTAATTTAAAAATATGTTTGGAATATTTGTGTTTGTTAAATTATAGTAGTTTTTTTTTTTAAAGTAACGACTAAGCGGCCAGTGGCAGACAGTGAGTTAATCATAGCCTATGTTTGATCAATTTACCACTTGGCTAAAATAAAATCTATAGGCCTATATAAAATACTTAAAAAAGCATATCACAATGTTATTTTAAATGGTTAACCTAGATAAATGTGTGCTATTAGGCGTGTATCCAATCGTTTGTGCAGAGAAGCTAAAGCGCGCTTTGCAGGACATGGAGTCGCCAGCGCAATCACTCGCATTTTTTTCTTATAACAGTGGAAACAACCGTCTTTTTTGCTCATAAAGGTAAGAGTAATACATCATTCTGGACTGTTAAGGGTCTACTTTTATTTGTGTCCACTCACAATATCAGCATATGTTGTGCTTTTTTGTAGAAAACAAACAGGATGCGCTTTCTGCCGTCTCGGTCTTGAGCAGGACCGCTTCACAAAAATGAGCCGAAACTCTGCGAATATTCTATTTCCCCTGGCCCCGACACATTAATCATGGTAATTACTTGCTGGGGTTTTGCGGCAAGCTTTGCATGCGTTTTAATGTGGAACTCTTCCAGCACTCGCTGCTGCTGGACAACACCGTCCGAGCCACTCTTGACAGTCGTGGTAGCACAGTCTCGTGTTGTTTCCACCAGCGTGGCACATCTTTTTCATCACCATAATAATTGATGGATATCTAAAATATAAAAATGAGGAAGCAAGCCCAATGCCAGGCGCGCGTCTGAGCTATGACGTGAAAATTGTCCCGAAGCCGTAAATAAGTCTGGTCCCGTCGGGCTCGGGCTGAAATGCAGGGCTCTAAAGCGCAGCTTGTTGCGTTTAAGCAGCAAAAATACACACAAAATGACGCCAAAATGGCCATCCTGGCCACACCGTTAAATAAATGATAATATTCAGTAATGTGAAATGTGGAGTAACGGCTGGCGCAGTTGCAGCTTGTACTTATTACTAAAACAAGAAAGCAAACAAGTAGCATTAATAGTCATAAATTTTAGTTAACATATGCTATGATAATTTGAACAGATTTTTATTCTTATAGTAAAATAATGGAACATTTAGGTTAACATGAATATTGTCTCAAAAGTCATGGAAATTTATTGGTAAAAATGTGTACAAACCCTGAATTACTGTCTTTGTCTACAGCTCCACACTGGTCA